AACGACCCTTTATCTAATGGTCTGCAGAATAGTCGGGCAAGCCTTGATCATGTAGAATATGATGAAGGTAAAAACAAGCCTATACTGAAGGAGCAGGTATAGCGACTCAATTTTCAGTAATGAGTTCACTTATTAACGCCCCATGCTCAAGTGCAGGAGCTGAGGGAAGCTTAGCATTTTATTTTTTTTATACGCCCCATGCTCAAGTGCAGGAGCTGAGAGAAGCTTAGCATTTTATTTTATTTATTTTGGTGCTTTTGCAGACAGATTTGGCTGTTGTGGGAAAGAACACGTCCGCTAACTCTCAACTGACAGAGGAAAATGGTGCTTTTCCAAATGAATTAGCAAACAAGGTACCTTTTTTTTTCTTCCTTTTGATATTTTCAAAATGTTGATACTGAACCAGACATGTTACTGATTTTAACCCTTTTCATCCAGGATAACTTTTAGACTCAGTAAGCACCAAATACAATCTTTGTTTTTTAGAATCCTGCTATGATCTTTTGATGTTCTAAGTTCTTCTGTCCAGGATTAAAGAAAAGTTATATCAGTGAATTGAATTTGGAAAATCTTGATATTGTTATCCTTTCACTAATACAGTGTGGTTTCCTCATATTCGATCTTAAATTAGATTGGAGGGACAGTGAAACCTAATTAGAGCTGGGAAGGGTAAAATTTACCTTACACTTGAGCTTATTAAGACTTCCTTCCTGAGTACTTCTCTGGAATGGAAAATGGCGACAGAAAAGAGAAATTATATTATTTAAATTCCTCTCCATCTCTTCATATTTCTTGCTATTATTTTTAGTTTTATTTTTTGGCATGATAATAAACTTGGATGTTGGGTGAATATGGATTTACATGATTTATTCATGACTTCAATAATGCATCAATTAAGTTATCCTGGATGTCAAATCCATTACTTAACCATGATATCGATTGCCTAAAGTGAAGCCATTTTGTGGTTTTCTGTTAGTAGGAAGGAGAAAGGAATAACACGTAAAAATTCAGGAGTCATCAGTTATTTATATTTCTAGCATGACATCCACTCTTCCCAGGGACATGCAAATTCTGTTTGCTTGGCATAGTCTAGCTAATACCTCAATATATTCTGAACAATAGAAGCTCTTTGGATCGTAAGTTACAGTTAAAAAAAATAAATAACTTTGAATTTATCCTTACAAACCATGTACTGAATTAAAATACTAACTGTGCCTTAGTCACTCTCCCCTGCAGGTCTAGATTGTTAAAACGTTGATCTATTCTAAGTAATTTGTCTATTTATATGTTTATAGTTCTGTGATCAGACATACAGGCAAAAGAAGATCTTGAAAGGTCGGGAAAAACTGGAAGAAAAAGGTGAACTGAAATCATACCAAGATTTTTATGGAAACTGGACTTCATATGTAATCCCAGCCTGTCAACTTAAGGATCATTCAGCACCCCAAATTATGCAATCTTCTCCCCCTTCAATTCTCAGCCAACAGAAGCAGCTACAGGGTTCCGAGCAGTTGCAGTACCAGCAGATATCCAATCCATTTGTGGCCCCTTCTGCATACGGGAGTATTACAAATCCATATTCTATGCCTGGGTTGTCCCACAATCAGTCCGGGGATTTTAAGCATCAACCTTTAGCTTCTGGTTATGAAGTTTCTTCAGGTAATGCGAATCCTGTTAAAGTTTTCTGACTTTCCAACAAAATTTCTAGTCATTTAATCATCGACCTAAAATTTCTGGTTATGAAGTTTCAGGCAATGCAAATCCTATAAACAAGTTAGCTGACTGTCCAGTGAAACCCCTGAGAATGACACCTCAGGAAAAGATTGAAAAATTAAGGAGGCGGCAACAAATTCAGGCAATGCTTGCCATTCAGAAACAGCAGCAGCAGCTTGTTCATCAAAAGTGTTCCCAAGAAAATCAAATTCAGCATGTTGAAGGAGCTGACCTTGAAGTAGAGGATTTAAGTACACTTTCTTCATTTGACCCAAACTCACCTATTGAGCAAGACGATTCCAATACAGTCTCTCTGGCGGTTAATGATTATTCAATGGAGGACACAGTACTCTACAGGCTTCAAGATATTATTTCAAAGGTATGCTTCACGTACGATTGCATTCTTTCCCTGCTAAATAATTTGTGCTTGGTTATGATTCCAAACCAATGTTTTACAACAGTTGGATGTGAGAATTAGACTTTGTATTCGGGATAGCTTGTTCCGGCTGGCTCAAAGTGCAATGCAAAGGCATTATGCTAGTGATACTGGCAGTACAAACAATAGTAGCAGGGACGAGCAAGTTGCTGCAAAGGAGGAAACCAGCAGTCAAAGAAGGTTGGTTAAGGCAATGCATTTCTCATGCTTGTGTTTTCAAATTTAATCTATCCTCTCTCTTTTTTTTAACATTTTTGCTCGATGGAAATGTTAAATTAGGATCTTTTAATGCCATCACCATTTTCTGTTTTCCATTCTCATTCTAGAAATAAAAATTGAAAGCGGTATCCTCTATTTACAATGGAGGAATAGTGACTGAAACAATTCATTTAAGGCCGCGCTTGCTCTTAGAAGTAGAAGAAAATCTAAAGAGAAAATTTTAGGTTCCTCTTTCACTGGATTTCCTTAAAAACTTGACTGGATTTGACCTTGTTGATCAAATATGTAGTAGTTCGCTTCCACTGGTTCTGTTATGATTGTGAGTGCTGGTCATCATGTCTTGATTTAGTTGAGAGAAGCTTTGGTATTGTATATAGGCCAACCTAGGTAGAGGCAGATATTAAACTGACATTTATAGCTTTACCCTGGTGCAGCCTTCATGAGTGCAGTGCAGCGAGTAGTCATGAGGTGACAATTCAACTAGCATAATATTTAGTAGAGATTTTCATTTAATTAGAAAAGGAAATTTAATCTTTCCAATATTAACAAAATCTATGCAAGTTTTCTGCAATGTTGATTCCAGTGAATTTGTGCATAATCACCTTAATCCGAAAAGGAGAGTTAAACACGCACATCCAAGTCTAAATGAGTGGCACAACATACCTGATAAATTTTGCTAGATTTAACTAAGAGAGAGAGAGACAAAGAATGTTAAACAAGTGCAATAAGTAGAGAGAGAGAGAGAGAGAGAATGTTAAACAAGTGCAATGAGTTTATTCATGGACAAATAGAAGGAAAACAAGATCTGTACAGATTCACTGAAATCATCAATGCAGAAAACTTGCACAACTTTAGATAAACAGGGCAAAATTAAATTTCCCTTCTAATTTAGTGATCATCTGCAGATTCATGTTACACATTTTAAGCAAGAAAATTTAAGAACTCAAATCATCTTCTAATCTGCTCATCTATGTCTAAATGGGATACTTCCAGCCAAAACCATAAGCTCTTTTGATCTGAAACTCGATTTTTTGTTGTAAGCGACAATGTGATTGTTTCTTGTTCCAATGGGTTTGTTCCTTTACATCTCGTCCTTCCCATTTCAAATTATTCAATTTGTTTGCACAAAATTATTAATCAAGTCTTTATCAATTTGTTTAGAGTATGGCAATCTCAAACTTGCCTGTCATTTTCCTCATGGATTTTATGAGAATTCTGCAGGGTGGTTCAGATGAGGTATGAGAATTCTGCAGGGTGGTTCAGATGCCTGAGGTGGAAACAGAAACCAATCCGGTAGACCGGACTGTGGCTCATTTGCTGTTTCATAGACCGATGGATATTCCTGGGAAGCACCCTCATACACCTGAATCACCTTTTTCAACCAAGCTCCCGTGTGAGCACAAGACAATGGCCCTAGCAAAGCTGTTAACGGGAAGCCTGTCTGAGACTCCGAAAGGAAAACCAAACTTTTCGCAAAAGGGGTCTCAACTTTCTAGTCTCTTGACCGATGCTCAGCCCGTAAGTCAGTGTAAAAGCAATCCTTGCTTAGACACTTCAGAGGATGCATCAAACAATGGGCCTGCAGATGAAGGAGCTAGGGAGGTTAAAGCCTCTCAATGAAGACAAGGGTAATTCCTACCTGAATCTCTTCCATGCTTGCAGTGACGATTTACTAGTAATGCCGAGGTTTTCTTTTATTGTGAGCTCACTGGATCATCATGAGGAATAAACACCAGTATTGATGGGGATTTGTACATGTCTTTAGCAGCGTAACCATCAAGAAGTCGCATTTGTGCATGCTGGAAGTATTGTTGTTAATATAGCTACGTATCTACTGCAAAACAATGAACTCTTTGCTGTGAGTTCTCAAGATGATGACTTTCTGTGCTTTAATCCTTTCTATTCAGTGACATTGGCCACTTTCACTTGATTCTGAATTGTGATTCCCATAGGCGGATGAATTTTATATTTTCTCTTCTTTTTATATCTATAAAAGATCTTTTATGAATGTAAACTTCAAGAAAAGTTTTTTAACCAAGTTAAGTAATAATAAAATAGATAAATCAACAGTTTTTGAATTTTGAATTTTTGGAGAAGGGGAATAGATTAGAGAATGGAGATTTTTGAATTCTGAAATTTGATTTTGCCGCGTCAACGATGAAAAATATGTTGCAGATTACTTAAATATTTTTTAATCCTTTTCAGCTCTGCTAGGCCCGTTGTCTTTTAAGATGGACACTTGTTTTTTAAGGGTGGCGCTGGCAGTTCAAAATCTGAAGCATGTGATGTTTGTTTGCCGGCATTTGATAGAGGAACAATAGTAGCATTAATTATAGCAGAAAAGATATTGAAATAGAATGATGATTATTATTTACGGATATGAATAACAGACAATAATTATGGAAGAAATTATCTGTACTTTAACATGCAACAAATAAAAACAGACATCATTTTGGACAATATCTGTATTTCATTCATCCAAATTTTAACTGAAATTGCCTCTGATTACTGAAAAGAAAATAAACTATTTAGTAGCAATACCTCACTATGTTGGACGATTGAAAGAAAACTCCTTTTAACGAATTTCTAAGGAATGTGAGAAATCTTGGGCCAATCTTTACCTTTCTCCCTTTCACAACTTTCACCCAGCATGGGACAATTGAAAATTGCAAGAGTAGAAAGGGAGGAGGGCAACCCTTCTTCTCGCATTGACTCAATCAGAGGGCAGTCATGTATAATCAATTGTTTAAGGGAAGTGAGGTGTTGAACCCCTTGTAGTCAAGAGATTGCAGGTGTTTTAGGTAGCTGATTGTAAGAGATGTAAGACTCGAGGGCAGCAGCATCTCTTCAGGGAAGGATTCAACATTTTCGTCCAAACCAATTGCAAAGCGTGAAAGAGAAGGGAGCGTTTGCAAGCCCCATTGCATGCGACCTGCAATGAGTTTGTTGCACCTCCAAATCTCAAGTGATTGTAATGTGGAGGAAAAACCCCCTTCTGGACACAACTCAACTTCTAAACAACCATGTATTTCCAAATGGGTAAGAGATGGGAGGAGGGAATACATACTCTCAGGCAACTGCTTCAAGTTTTCGCAATAATCTAACTCAAGTCCTGTCAAGACTGGGGCAGGTAACCCTCCTTTGGGAAATGAAACTAATTTAGGGCACAACCGGATTTCCAGAGAACGGAGAGAGGTGAGATCATTGAGAGGTCTTTCATGAGCACATAGTGATTCGAGATCTGGACAGTCCGAGATAGAAAGAGAATTTAACGTGGGGAACAAGTCCAGTGGGATGCATTTGAGAGTAGCAGCTCCGTCGATACTAACATTAGAAAATCCAATTTGCCCCATTTCCTTGAGTAGGGAGACTTGGATGTTGCATCCAGAAACATCGAGAGAGAGCAACCGTGAAGGTGACATTGATTCCTCACAGCGCAGATAACGAGAATCATCTTCCAGGAGAATTGAATTGATGATTGGAAACCTAGGAAGTGGAGTCGCGAGCTGCTCACAATCTTGAATTGTAAGAAGTGTTAAACGTGGAAGGTGGTGACTAGGTAGGGCCTTTGTAAGGTTGGGGCATTCTTCGACTGAAAGCACCATTAGAAGAGGGAAGGCTTCCCGGCTGCCTTCGTCTGAAATCCACTCACTCCACTCTGGCATACTTCTAAAAGATAATGTTTTGAGGGATTCAAATGGCTTCTTCATAGCTGTACAACTCCCATAGAACTCAGAGCCCACAGTCACAACTTTATCAAATACTTCAATTGAGAGACCCTCTAAAGAAGCTAATTGCCCGAGCGGTGGTAAGGAGGTGCAGTTTGTACATCTACTGAGCATCAAGGACACTATATTTGAGAAAGAGGACTCTCCTACCCACTCCGGAAACCTTAAACCTCCATAACCATGAATCACAAGATCCTTCACATTTCTATTGGGCTCTAATTTCTCAAGTGTGCTTGTTACGTGTTGCAGGTCATGAGTGTCACCATCCCATGTAAACATCAGCTCATCAAGGTGCTTTCTACCTTTCAAATTTGCCTCATCTGCATCCCGTGCATCCACCACATTTTGGAGGTTCCGAATATGAAGTTCTCCCCGTAGATGTTGTAGCTTTCCCAATTCTTTAATGCTAGTCTCACTCTGTCTTCCCACGAGAAAGACAGTCAACGTTTGGAGCTTTTTCAGTTGACCTATATGCTGTGGCATCTCTTTCAAAGGCGTGTCTGAGATGTTAAGATACCGCAAGTTGATCAACCTTTCCAGAGATTCAGGCAACCTTTCGATTCTTATTCCTTGAAGATTCAGATGTCGTAAATACTTCAAATTTCCAAGATCAGGTAGACTAGCAAGTTGTTCGCACCCTTTCAAGATCAACGTTTGCAAATTGAGAAGAGCACTCACTTCTTCAGGCAACTTTACTAAGAACTGTGAAAAGGAAAGATTCAAATACCGCAAATGCTTCAACTCGCTAATTGAACAAAGCATCTTATCTGCACCGGCAAACTTAGGCAAGGATAGCACACGTAGGCGCCCAAGTGTTGACAATATATGAAAGATCTCATTATGAAAATCAGGAGGAGGACCCCAATAGCGTACAAAAGTTTGGAATGTGCGTAGAAATTGGGCTTCACGGATGTTATCTAATTTCGTTCTTGAAAAACCGCCTCCCATATCTACTTCGAATGATAAATGTCGAGTCCTTCTAGTGGCCATGGAAGAATTATTTTCCCCCACCCTGGAACTGAAGCAAAATTGACCGGACACATGGGTAGCCAAGTCATGCATGAGATCGTGCATCACAAATGATAAGCTTGATTGCTGGAAAAACGACCTTGACAAGAGACCATCAAAGCACTCAGCACCTGCCTCTTCCATCTCATCTTCTACGGAGCAGACTAAGAAGCCCTCTGCCATCCACAGGAGCACTATTCCATCCTTTCGAAATGAATAGTTTTTTGGAAATATGGCACAGTAAGCAAAACATTGCTTCAGATGTGGCAGGAGATAATGATAACTTAATCTCAAGGCTGGGAGGATATTGTCTTTGGGTAAATCCCATAGATTGCTTTCCAATATCTTCTTCCACTCCTCGACATCTCTTTTGGTGCGAAGCAGACCTCCGAGTGTTACCGCTGCTAGAGGAAGGCCTTTACACTTTCTCACTATCGCTCTACCAATTTCTAGCAACTCTTCATGAGCAGTGGGATTTTCACTACGAAATGCATGTTTGGCAAACATTGACCAGCAGCTGTCTTCCGTCAATTCTTTTAGATGATGAGTTGGAACAGTTCTCATGACTGATGCTACACTTTCATTGCGTGTTGTGACAAGAATCATACTCCCTTGTGCTCCGCACTTCAAAGGGGTAAGCAAATTGTCCCACTCAGCATAATCTTCATTCCAAACGTCATCTAAAACAAGCAAGAATTTCTTTCCCTGCAATCTCTCCTTCAACTGAAGCTGGAGGGGATCCAGATTATCAAAATCAGGCTTTGAACCGAACCCCTCAAGAATAACCTTGGTTAACTTCGAAACACTGAAAGCTTCTGAAACACAAACCCAAGCTTTGAGACCGACCCTCTCTTGTACTCTGCTGTGATTGTATAAAGGCTGAGCGAGTGTGGTTTTACCACCCCCGCCCATTCCCACTATGGGAACGACACCTGGGTTTTGTCCATTTGCATCATCTGATAGAAGCAACTTCAGTATTGCTTCCCTGTCATCATCTCTATCATAAACACAACGTTCATCCACCAGAGAAGTTGTTGGCCTTTTAGGCGATGATGGTTCTTTTCCAGTGCGGTTGATCAAACCAAGGGCATCCTTTTGTTTTACTAAGTCATCTAGACTCTCCTGGAGGTCTCCTAATTTGTTCAACCCCTTCAAATCTCTGAAGGTTTGCGCTTCAGCTTCCAACTCCTGCCGTAGAGCTTCATAATCAATCTCGTCCAAGAAGTCGTCGGCTTCATAGACAGCGTCTTTATACTCGGCCAGCCAATCTCGCACAGCTGTATTTGTTATCTGCTTCTCCTCAGCATCGTCAAGCAGCCCACCGCCAGATATCATTGTTGTCTTCAACCTCTTCAGCGGCCTATCGTCAAACAAAAATCTGGGATTCAATTTACTTGAAACTTCTTCGACAATTTTTTGAATTAATTTTGATTCATGCCTGCGCATAGAAAAAGAAAGTCATCACTCGTTGATGAAAGATAATCTTTTGAATTTAATGCAAATTTAAAATACAAAA